TACTGCTGATTTCTGGGCAGACGAGACCTGAGCTTTTTTGTCTTGATATAGTTCTGTCTTTTCTAGGAGTATTTCAAGAATGAGTTCACATCTGGAGATGGAAAGAAAGGTAATTATCCATTCATTTTGAGCATGTGCATGTAGTTGCATACGTAAACTTGTTTCTCTTGTGACTTGCACAAAGGTAAAGGCTGAAAGGTCAAATCATATCTACACAACCATTCAAAAGTTTGGGGTCTGTAAGATTTTTTTAAAAGAAATTAATACTTTTATTCAGAAATCAGGGCCATCCTTAGCTGACACAGGGCCCGGTGTGAGGTAGGGAGCGGGGTCCCCCTCAGTCCATTCTCCGTGGGGCCCGGTGCGGCCGCACCAGTTGCACCCCCCTAAGGACGGCCCTGTCAGCAATTATGCACTAAATTGATCAAAACTGACAGTAAAGACATTTATAATATTACAGAAGATTTCTATTTCAAATAATTGCTGTTCTTCAGAACTTTCTGTTCATCCAGAATCCAGGAAAACATACATCACGGCTTCCACAGAAATGTAAAGCAGCACATCTGTTTTTAAAGGGGTCATATGATGCGATTTCAATTTTTCCTTTCTCTTTGGAGTGTTACAAGCTCTTGATGCATAAAGAAGATCTGTAAAGTTGCAAAGACTAAAGTCTCAAATCCAAAGAGATATTCTTTATAAAAGTTAAGAGTCAACCACGCCTACCTAAAACGGCTCGTTCTAACACACCCCCACATACCTACGTCACGATCTCGGAAGATTTGCATAAAAAATAATGTTCTTTTTAGCAACATCATATGACCCCTTTAACATCAATAATAATAATTAAAAAAAAATGTTTCTTGAGTACCAAATCAGCATATTAAAATTATTTCTGAATGATCATGTGACACTGAAGACTGAAGTAATGACTGCTGAAAATGTAGTTTTGCCATCACAGGTAATTTATTCCTATATTTTATTTTATGTATATTACAGTATATGTATAAAAAAGTTATTTTAAATTGTAATATTTCATTGTTTTACCTGTAGTTTTGATTAAATAAATGCAGCCTATGTAAGTCTAAGAGACTTCATAAAAAAAAAGTACCTACCACCAACTTTTGAACATTGGGCCTCATTCATGAAACACGAGCAGAACAAATTTTTGTGTAAATCGTTCGTAAAGCTGTTCTGACGTAAATTTTCGGATTCATGAAAGTGTTCGTATTTTCAAAATGTTAGTTGGTACAAAAGAAATTTACGCCTACCCCCTTCTTGGTGTAAATGGGGTCGTAAAACGTTCTGTGTTCTTTTTGGCAAACTGATGATACTGAATTTTGATGCACTGCCATTATAATATTTTACAAGTTTGTTTGCTCTGTTTTTGTTTTTTGTAGCTGGGATTTGATTAAACTGTTTAGCTTTGGGTAAAACGCAGCGCTTGTCACTGTCACTTTTTACCCAGCCGTCCAATCAATGGAGGAGGGGCGGGACAAATTCGAGGCTACTTGTACAACAACTGAACAACAATAGAGAAGTTAACATTGCTGGTTACTGCATTTTTATATTCAGTAATATTCTTCAAAGTGAGATACTAGTAATGCGTTACTGCCGTGGATATTCCAAATTATTGCAATCAAAGCGTCTCAGCTGGAAAAACGCTGTGCCACCAAAGCGTCCTCCAGCATCACCAGCTGGTCGTTTTCAGAAGAGCGCCTGACATTTTTCAGCTGGCTAAAACGCTTTGGTGGACACACGTTATTGAATATTTATTGTTAGGCATATGGCCTATTGGTCTTTTTTGCATTTATGCAATATACTGGAGCCAAACCTGAGAAAGTAGACCAGAATATTCCACTGCGTTCCTGGACACGCAATTTGCGTAGCTGTATTTCATAGGCGGGGATTATGGTAATTGTGAATGTGCGTGCACGAGCGCCCTATTTACGAATCATTGGAATTCATTAACATACGCATGTTTAACTATCATAATGCGTAATAGGATTCCTTGTCTTCTATTGGTCAAGCAAACAGATAGCCCTGCCCCAAACTCACGCCATTGGTTAAGCCTGCAGTGTACCTCCAAATTACTCATAGTTTGCATATTAAGATGAATATTTAATCTCCCAGAGAATTGCACATTTCACTTTAAATGTAAAATTCATTAAGTCTAAGCATAAAGGAGACATTTAGCAATACTTCTCAAAAATCATTCATACAGTTGATGGCACTCTCAGCCTAGAAATTAAATATGGGTCAAAACCTAAGAAATCATTCCATTCTGTATACACACATGTGAGTCCACCTGGTTCTTTCCCAGAGCTTAATGTCTCTGTGTCAGCGAATAAAGGATCAGCGTATCTGTCTGTCAATCTAGTAGGCCTATCTGTATCGGTGGTGGGTTGAGGACGAGGGAGCTTGTTCAAAGGTGTCGTGTTCCTAAAGTTCTGGTCTGTCAGGCTCTGTTCTCTCTTTCAGCCCTCATTACTGTTGCATAAGCCTTCAACCTGTACACAACATCCCCCTCTGCTGTTTTACATGTGAAGTCTCTCTGTAACATGACCAGTGTCACACACATAAGCCACAAACATATACAGTATGAGGCGCTGCAGGCGCATTTGTCCATGAATGGGGTACAAAATATGGTCTAAAACAGGGGTGTCCAAACTACGGCCTGCGGGCCAAATGCGGCCCGTGGATGAATTTTCAGTTTGGACACCCCTGGTCTAAAACTATTTAAAAATTAGCGATGTTTTTCTTTTCCAACATGTGATCAGTGAATCAGCGCAACCTTCAGAAAATGTTAAACATCAGCCTCAGGTGATGAAACTAGATATTATATGAGGTTTTATGTTTCATTCATTTATTATGAGGTTTGCATGTTTTGCAACCCTGTTAACAAAATTTGGGGAATGAATAAATACAGTTTTAAACTGACATGTAGTTGGGTTGTAAATAAAGATAAAAATGAACAGACAAAATGTTAAAACAATCAATATGATGTCAGGATGGGTAATTTGGCATCAAATGTTGATATGTAGTTAATAAACTTACACTTCCATTCAAAAGTTTAGGGTTAGTAATATTTTTTAAAAGAAATTAATACTTTTATTTTGCAAGGACACATTAAATTTAACAAAAGTGACCGTAATGACATTTATAATCATTGATAAGACATTGATACTAAGAAATGTTTCCTGAGCAGTAAATCATCATATTAGAATGATTTCTGAAGGATCATGTGACACTGAAGACTGAAGTAATTGCTGCTTGAAAAATCAGCTTTGATCACAGCGATAAATTACATTTGAAAATATATTCAAATAGAAAAGTTATTTTAAATTGCAATAATATTTCACAATATCACCGTTTTACTTCATTTTCGTTCAAATAAATGCAGCCTTGGTGAGCATAAGTGACTTGTTTAACATACTAACACCAATAAAATCTCAGTCCACAAACTTAAACAGTAGTGTGCATTTATTATATGAATTCTGGTTTGTCTCATCTGTAGCGCACCATGACTTTGGCAACTTTTATGGCTCCAGCTACGTGGCTGCACCCGATGACAGCAGATCCCCAGGATTATCCAGAACCCGTGATGGCCTGCTGGTGACAGAGATAGACTTGAACCTAAATCGGCAAGTTGCAGACAAATAGAACTTCAAGGTGGGATAAAAAAATCACTACATGTTCAACTATACTACAGTATATTCCTGCTGCCATCTTGTGTTGACATTTTGAAACTGCATAGGCCTATTTTGTAAATTATGCTTGGCGGGCCATATATAATATAAACTATTAAGACAGCTGCGGGCCGCGTAAAATTCATCCGCGGGCCGTAGTTTGGACACCCCTGGATCACATCCTATAAATACTGAATAAGGGTTGTTTCTGGTAGCATCTGTATGCCATTCACATGTATGAATCTCTCCGTAGATGACTGGAAGGTATGAAATGTACGCAGAAGAGCTCAAAGAAGCCATCCAGCATGACTTCAAACCCAACATTCTTAAGGAGTGAGCTTATAAGGAAAACCGTGCTGTCAGCTGAAAGCCAAACTCTAACCCTAACCTCTACTCGAATTTCACAAAATAACATATAATTTAAATAATTTATCGGTTCATTTTTAAGGTCAATAATGGAAGGATGCATTTGATTAAAATACAAATACAACTTTTATTAATTTCTGAACTGCTACTATATATTTCATAAAAATTAAGTTTGCCATATCAACATTCCTTATGGTCTTTAAAAAAAATGTAATCGGACACCTGATGTCTTAAAAACCAAAGGAAAAAAACAACAAAATAACATTTAACCTGAATGATCAAAGATTAAATAACATAATTATGGCTGGTGGAACAACCATAGTGCAAGCATTTCATTTGTTAGCCATTGTGCAACAAACCATCAACGACTGAACTATTTGAACCACTGAGCAGGCGTAGTGTGTTTACAAGATAGCAAACAGCAAAGTGTTCACAACACTGTGTTCAGACCTTTTCAAACGGTGCACAACACCTGACGGTAAACCTCTAACCCTAGTCTTCCTGTTCTCTCTCAGAGGAATTAAAGTTGCTATGAATTATGCCAACACAATGTAATCATGAGAATTAAACAGCATAATATTGTAATTTACACAGAAACAGGTCTAATACTGTACTAGTGCACAGTTTCACTAGGTCAAGGTTCACAGTTCAGAGTCACCTACAAAGCAGCCAAACTCTCTCTTGCTACACTACATGAGGTTATGACAGAAGTCCAGGTGATTTTACTCTTGAGGAAACCCCTGGAGAAATGAATCCATGCATATTGCACCTATGAAACGTTTCTTTTTCCTGACAGTGGGATATAATTTAACATGCTGGATTTATCAAATCTTTCCTGAGTTTTTAAAAACAGCTTTCCTCTTGAACAATAATTAAAAACTTTCACTGTATTCTTAATTAAGTGGCTTCCAAGAGAAAAAAAAAAGAAGAAAAATCAACACAACCCCATGATTTTGCAAGGTTACCCTGAACAAACACAAAATCTTTATCTTTACATGAATGACAAACATTGTACACTCCTCCTCCACCTCTTACAGTGGCATAGACTATATAAATCATATGAGCTATAGATAAAAATATAAGTCCACATCACAATAATGATGAGTTACATATACATACCATCTCCCTTTCCTTTCTGCATGAATAATTCATTCTGTGGCCAATGTAGCACCATAGTAATGTTTTGTGCGATGCTATAGCTCCATTGAAGACCATAGCCAGAGGTGAAACATACTACCTGCTATTGGCCAGCAGCGCTGGTCCCTGTTGGCAAAAATGCTACCCAGCCAACCACAGTGGTTGCAAAAGGGGTTTTGAACGTGCGTTCATTCAGAAGTGGTCAAGACTCAACCGTCTTTGTAGATGAACAGAATGTCCTCGTCAGTTCCGTAGCTTCTTCTGGCCTCCTCAAAATTACTAAAGCTTGTGCAGCACACACCTGGCAATCAAAGAGATGGGCATATGAGACACAGTTTTAATGTTACTGCCATGTGTGAAGATTCTGTATTATCATTAAAGGAATACTTCACCCAAAAATGAATATCCATTGATGAGCAAGTGTGGTAATGCTAAATTTCTCCAAATCTGTTCTGATGAACAAATTCATCTACATCTTGTATGACCTGAAGGTGAGTACATTTTCAGCATAACTTCCTTCTTGGGTGAACTATTTGTTTAAAAATAACCATAATATACACTATAATAAATAAGGCTGTTTGTTCTAAGATATATGTAGCCTCAAAAAAGTATTTGGAAACTTCAAAATAAATATAGATTTCATTACATTAGATAGAAAGTATCCAGATATATTTATTTAAATATCTGAATTCACATTTAACCATATATTTAATGATTTAAACATTTTATGTGTGTGTTTTTTTATGTTTTGCATTGAAATATTGTGCTTGTGCTGTAATGCCAAATGCCATATATAATAATAATAATAATGCCAATAATGCCAAAACTTCACAATACATACGGTCCGAGTAGGCCGGATTGTTGTAGAAGATGCTGCCGGTTCTACGGTTAAATCCACACACCACTACAAAGTGGCCCTGGTAATCTGGCTTCCTGCAAAAGCACTTCTGACCCACAGGGAGGAAACAGCAGTATTTGACAGGCGTGGAGCACAGCTCACACACCAACACGACTGCGTTGACCAGCACTATGGCCACATGACCCTGCTCCAGGTGGCTCTGGATCTCCTGAATAGTAACAGAGCTACGAGAGAGAGATGTGATCAGATTTCTTCAAAGCACCGCATAGGTGAGAATATGTTTTAATAGAACTGGAACTATATATATATATATATATATATATACAACGATTAAATGAAAATTTATAAAATTTTGTCTAAATGAATAAAAAACATGAAACACTAAAAATTAGCATTTTAAATTGATTTTAAGCATCCATGTAAGTCCAATCAGTAGAGCATGGCACTAACAACACCAAGGGCATGGGTTAGATTCCCACGAAATGCATGAACTGATAAAAAAAATGTCTTCAATGCAATGTGAATTGCATTAGATAAAAGCGTTTTTAAAGAGGAGTTAAATGTAGGGTGGCCATATGTGCCGTTCATACGGGACACGTCCTTGCCAGGATTTTTATATTCCCTAAAATATCCATAGTAGTTTGACCAATAACATTCAGATATTGTATATAATCTACCAATCGTGGCGCGTGAGAAGATGAGATCTACAGAGAACGTTCAAAGCGATGCAAATACGCGCACGTTTTTGTTCGTTCGACTTGAAGTGTCACTGCGCACCGATAATTGAATGACAACGTACCGCGAGAGCGATTCGAAAGCATAACGCCTGTTTCACACATACTCCGTCTGCAGTGCGTATGCGGTCCGAGTGCGTTACGTATGCGGTGCAGAAGCAGCACGGACTCATTGTGCTTTCACACAGGACGCGTTTGCAGTCCGCTCATGATCCGCGGCTGTTTAACACAAACACAACATTTATCCATTATTTTGATCTCAAATCCAAACATAGTTAGCCTATACTGAAAGTGTTTTTTCAGCATTGTGATCCTCTTTTATCACAGTACAGTTAACACAATCTTTCATAGATATATTCACGTTTAAACTCAATTAATATAAACAGCGTATTAAATGCATTTGGCTTCTAGATTTGTATATTAAGTTGCTCAAGCAAGTGGAAACACATTTGAACACAGCATATAGCTTTCGTTAGGTTATCACAAATATTTTAAATTAAAACTTACCACTGACAGAAACAGTCGGCTCTCGTGCCTTTTACATTTAAATCTTTATTACAAACAGTCCCGCGGGTCTTAAAGAACTTTGTTTTTCTACCTCCACAAGACACAAGTGCATATGTTGCCTTGTATATCTAAAAGTGCACTTTTATTATATTCCACCGCACAGTGTAACGCCTGTTTCACACATACTCCATGTTTTCAATGATGATTTTAACCCTGTATATCAGGCACAAAGTGTCAGTATGCACCACAAAAAAAAAAAAGAGAAACTGTTTTAAATGTGGAAACCTCACCTTTTTTTCACCAGGACTCCTTTGCTTTCAGCCTTCAGAAATAGTTCATTCACCCTGTCCTCCTCCGTGTCAAAATGCTTTTTGTAGAAAGACTAAAGCAGAAAAATACAGGAAATGGGAAAATTATTCAGATGCCAATGTGATTACTCAACATCTGAGTTGGAACTGATCCTCTGATTAAAATTACAGCTCAAAAAAAAAAAAATCAAGAATATTAAGTGTATAAACGCTAAAAAGGCCATGACTAATGCCATTTTCTTGGAAAAATAGAATCAAACATCCATTATTTCCTGCGCTGCATGTGACACTTAGCTTATATGCCATCTGTCTGCAGTGATCAGGACTGTACATGAAGTGGGGGCCCCAGGCAAAATTAATCAGTGAGGCCCTTCTAAAAGATTTTTTTTGTTAATGTATCTTTGTTACCTAGTGATATAATTATGCAACATGAAATGTGGACAAAACACATCTAACAGTATATAATGCACAAAACAGGATGCGCGCTCTCTTACTCAGAAGTGCATGCTCAAACCTGTGCACTCACATCTATATAATTGTCTTTTCTCCTGGAATTAATGTTGCCAGAAGCCCATCAACCACCAGGCTTCCATGACTGACTGATGAAATAACAGAGTACCTTTCAATTGTACAAAAATTACGGATCAATCTTTGTTAGCATTTTCAAGGTGATATTGGTCAGTGAATTCTCGTTATTTATTTTATTATTTAGCCTAAAAGTTATTTGAATTAAGTGTCTGTTCTAAATATTCTATTATAGGTATTTATTGAATTATTTTATGTATATCAGCAAGTGAACGAGTTGTGGCCGAAGCTCATGAAAAGAATGTTTTGTTTAGTTGTGTATTTGTAGTCTGTGCATTTCTCTTCGCGAGACACGAATAATATCTTTTGTGTAGCCAGCCGAATTCAAGCACAATATCGAAAGGAGAAAAATATATTTCTCATTTTTAATTAATTAGGCTGTAAAAAATGGGAATGTTAAAATATTCAAGGCACAGTTGTTGCATGACAATCTCATTTGCTCATGGAAACTGATGAATAAAATGTTTTGTATTTGGTTTGGAGTGGAATAGAGTGTGGGCAGAAACATAAATTGGTGCCTATGCTTACTGTTGTTCTGTTTCCTCTTTTCCTCCTCTTTTTTTCGCTTCAGGCTGCCGGACAGATTTGTTCTCTTCTTTATGTTTAACGTGCGTGTTTATGTGTGTGTGCGCAAACTTTTTCAGTTCATTCCTAAGTTGCGGAAGCTCAACTTCCATATGAAATGGATTAAAAATGCTCGGGTCCCGCGTTCTGCTCCGTTCCAGATCATGCATTTTCTAATCTACAGCACCGCGAGGACGCACTGCACCTGTTTGAAAAAGGCGTAACCAGTGTATCGAGAGAGGGGGCCCCATAGGGGGGGGTGGAGAGATGTCGCTGTGTGTTATAGCTTTTAATATTAATATTAACATTCCTGTTGGTTTAAATGGTCGGCCATCGGGGGCCCCCTTAAAATGCGGGGCCCCAGGCATTTGCCTGCCCCATTGCTACGCCTCTGATGACATGGCACTGACTTTGAAAACAGACTGCAGCTCATGTACCTGGTTCCTGAAGCCCTTGTCAACACCTAGTGTCTGTGTGCAGAAGCAATGTCTGACCCCCAGCTTATACATGAGATAAGCCAGGTCAATAGTCCACACGCTCTCCGTAAACTCCAAGTCCAAACACGCTCTCTGAAATTCCTCCTCACTAACTGGATGTAAATACCTGTGCACAAAAACAAGAGTTTAAATATTTGACCATTAGAGTAACTATGCATAATACATCACTCAGGATTCATACTTACTCTAGTACCATTCTCGAACAGGCCAAGCCACAATCCCAGTGGTACAGCTGCCGGATGACCGGTACGTTTAACATCACATCATCTGGCAAAACAAGGTCGGAAAGGAAGCTGGTAATGTCACTAAGCCCCAATGAGCAGCTTTTGATCCTCTGACTATATCATAAATTGCATTATTAGGTTGTATCGAGGATTAAGTAGTTAGTTTTGGTTGTGAACTTAATTATATAAAACCATTTTGTTGTATTTCATTCATGTAAAAAAGCATGTGAATTAGAGTGAATAACAACTTGGAAAAGTTAGACACAAGCAGCATGAGGATAATACACGGACTGTTCATTCAAATTCAATATATCCGGGTTGAGTGTTTTGCCCGGTTCTGTATGTTAGAGAAGGGTCATGATTGATAATAATTGCTTGTTAGTTTACAGTTACCAGCCATCTAAGATGTTACGTTTAAACGTCATTTAACACAAACTCACCGTTCATGATGCAGTCGGTGTGTGTCTCTCTCTGTTGTTGTGTTTCAGTGATGTTTAATAGCAGGGATTGATTCATGAAGACTGTCTGCTAGCGGGGTTAACGTTAGCCGGACAGCTGCTGCCCTCTTGTCCTCCACATCAGACACGCTAAAATATGTCCATCTTCAGCTCAATGAAAGCTGTTAATGAAAAGCGGTGAAACGGCTACAAACCCGACTCGTTTAGCCCACAGCTTGTGGTCATTCCCAGGGATGAATGTTTCACTTCCTCTGTCAGTCCAAACCACAGTTTGCTTCGGCGCGTTAAGAATAGGGGGAACTGCGCCCTCTGCTGGCAGGACGAGACAGTACTCCACCTCATTTCGACATAAATAAAGGGAACAATTAGAATATGTATAGAAGCTCCAATATTTATATATACATTTTACAAGATGAGTAAATACAAGTATTCTTATTTATAAAAATTATTTATTTCATTTATTTTAATTGAACATAAATAAAAAGACAATCTAGAATATTTACAGGGTAAATTTGTGATTAAATGGGTTGTTTAATTTGCTATGCTTATAAGGCTTGTTAATACCTAAATACCTAGTAATAGAATGAACTCGTTTAATCACAAATTTACCCACCAAAAATGTAATTCTTTTTTAAAAATGTGGTTTTACCATATACTGTATGGGTTTTGGATTTTACCCATAATGGTTGATGTGTCGTTCAGTCCGGTAGGTGGCAGTACGTGTCTCCGGTATAATAAAATTGCCGGAAATTCTATTAAACGCCGAAGACGAACCTGTTTGTGGACGTTCGGTGCTCGTTTTGGGTGAGTTTTTATTAATTTCTTTGAAAAAGGTAAAACTGGGTCGTGTCTGTCTGGGATTATTTGTAGGTTTATGGTTAAATTATTATCTCGTTATGTGTGTGTTTTTAGTTTGCTTGTTTATGACAAACTTGCATTAAGATCTGTCTAACCTATTCATTTCATCCTTACAACTTTAATTAGATTTCACCTCTTCGTAAAGCCCTTTGTCGACGTTATTTCTCCTCTGCCAAATTTTCTGCGGTGTCTTATTCTCACTCTCTGAAAGTTCACAGACAGCTAGTGAAGATGTCCATTGGAGTGCCCATCAAAGTTCTTCATGAAGCAGAGGGACACATAGTCACCTGTGAAACTAACACTGGGGAGGTTTACAGGGGCAAACTGATCGAGGCTGAGGACAACATGAACTGCCAGGTACTAAGATTTGTCCTGTGTATAGCAAACTAATCTTCTGCTTATCTTCTGAAGTACTATATTTTCCCCTGATAGAAACTTATTCATTTGGTCAATTTTTTTGTTGTTTGATCAATCCTTGCATTGGATTTCATAGATATAATTTTTTTTTTTTTTTTGTAACAGGATTTGTACAGAAGTACACCTGTCTTCCCGACATGCTGAAAAATGCTCCTATGTTAAAAAGTATGAAGAACAAAAATCAGGCCGCTGGTGCAGGTCGAGGAAAAGCAGCTATTCTCAAAGCCCAAGGTATACACCCTCTTTACTCCAGTCCACACATCTAACATCAAACATATATTTTTCAGAGAATTAATGTGACATTAATGTTTTTTTTCTAATAAAGATTATATTAAAACAGTGATCAAACTTGAGTTTGCGTTTAATGTTTTTGCAGTGGCTGCCAGAGGCCGTGGCCGGGGTGGACCAGGCCGAGGGAACGTGTTCCAGAAAAGGCGCTAGTTTTGTGGCAAACTTTTTTCTTTCCTTAATTTTGTTATGATTTATTTTATAATGTTCATTTTATGCTTTGGGAAATAAATGGGTGATTTTGCTATTTTTTTTTCCTGATTCTGTGAGTTTTTCTGGTGAGGATCTTTTTTTTTTTCTTAGCATGTTTATAGTTCTATGAGTATCAGCCCTACTGAGCTGAACATGAATACTGAGCAGCCCTAAATGAGCTGTCAAGTATTAAGACACTACAGTGAAACAAATGCAGTGAGGACATTTTAATGTATTTTCTTCAATAATGGTCCCTTTTCACAAGACTGTGATGACGAGTTTCATCAGCATCGTAAATCCTCAAGTTTTTAGTATTTTCATTTTTTTAATGTGTGTACATGTATACCACTATACTTTTGTATTATTTTACCTTTGCATCAAATTACAAAAAACTAGTTAACGCTAATGCAAGGGTGTTTCTAATACAGTCTATGGGAGTGATGGTAAATTTGACATTGTTCTCTCTACTGACTGCCGTTATCAGTCTATCTCTTTTTTTTTTTTCTTCTTTTTTTTTGAAAGTCTTCAAAAAAAACTATCATGGAGTTTTTCTGTTGCAATTTGAGCAAATGGGAATGCAAAAAATATATCTGTGGTAGTCTCCCATTCACTGCTATAGAAGTTTACCCAACTATGATGACTTCTGCTGCTGAGAAACCCGGAAATGTGAAAAAGGTCCATTATAGCAATTGAGCTGTTGTTCATGAATGAGGGTGTTCAACCACTTGATTTCAATTAGTTTTACATGGTTATACTGGCTTGCAAATGTGCAGAGTGCAAATGCTACTGGCTACCTAACAGGTGTTTAACCAAATACCTGCAGGTGGCTGGCAGTGCAAATCTTAACACTTATAATAATCCAACATGTTAAGAAATTATATTCAAAGCATGTGTAAATTCTATTGAAAAGTATAGTAGATATACTACAGGCTGACACCTAGTGTTCAACTTCTGACCGTACGTCAAGTACTGTAGTTTAGTGGACATTTCTTCAGCAATGGGCTGTAAGGACTGCAGTGGTATTTGCCTCCAGTGTCTTTTTGATTATGAAACACCTGTAATGCTGGTTATTAAAACCAAAAGAGTGGGAGCCCTTTTCAGACTGATCCAATTGTTGATCATAACCTATGTTGCTGTGTGAGTATAATTTTAGTTTTATACAGCATTTAAACTTTGGGAAAAATATTGATTGCATCTACTTGTATTCATCTAATTTTTAAGACACTTTGAATAAGAGTGTAATTAGAGCTTGTAAAGCCTGAGGTAAAGGTATTTTAAAAAACAAGTTTTCCATTTCTGGTCCAGACGAAATAACCTTATTTTTGTAGTCCCATGGATATGAAAATACATAAATGGTGTGCTTTTTAGGGACTGAGTTTGGAGTGACTATTTCACTTTACCAAAAAAAATTTTTTTTCCCTTTGTTACAATAAATGTATATATTTTTACACCCATGTGTTGTGCTCTCAGTGAAATTTAATGCAGTCTTGATGGTTTAGGGTAACTCCATATCTGCCTTGTGCTTTAAAGATATGTCTGCTGGATTCAGCGTGCTTACCAGGACACAGACTCAGTGATCAGCTCGGTCAGCACAAAGGTGAAAGGAAACATTTTGACCAATTCATTCACTGAGGGAGTTCATGTTTTGGGACATACCAGAATATGTTATCCCACCCCAGGTCTCTAAATTTGTTTGACAGAAATGCGTTGCAATAGTTAGAAGCACAAGAGTTATTTTCTGTCCAAGTGACATGCTTTTTGTAGCAATTAATTCCAGATTCAATCAGCCTTATTTTTATTCATTTGGTAGGGATAAAACTCTTTCTTTGTGTTAACAAATATGATTGTGACTCCAGGCCAGACACAGAGCAAGTGTCCTGAGGTCCAACAGAACACTTTCATATGCTTTGTCAATTTTCACACAAGACCAGACCATTGCATGTTGAATTATAAATGGTTCATTTTTACAGATTCCAAGTGAATTTGCTAAGTGTGAATCAGACAGTGATTGCAAAGAGGGACTCGATGAAGTCCGTGGCAATGGTACGTTTTTATGTTTTCTAAATAGTGCTGCGGATGTAAGCTGTGTTCCTCCTCGCAGGTGTTCAGACTGGCCGATGTGTGCAGTACTCTGATAAGATCCAAACTTGTGAGGTGCAGGCATGGTGTCCGCTTGAAAATGACACCATCATTCCAAAGTGAGTGTCTTAAAAAGTGGGAAAGTTTGATGCCCTTTGCACAATTGAAAGTGAATATTAATATAATCTGTGATTGTACAGACCTGCTATTCTAGGTGCAGCAGAGGACTTCACAGTGCTCATCAAAAACAACATACAATGTCCAAAGTTCAGTTTTAGAAAGTAAGTTCATGCATTTTAGTCTTAGAATAACAGAAAGCCCATGATATCTATCATTTAAATGTGAGGTCTTTAATGACGCAATGTAGAGAGAATCATCATTTAAATTCAAATGTTAGTGAGCTATGTGAATCTATTGTTTTGTGCTATTTCTAGGTGAAACATTCTGCATCACATCAACTCCACATACTTAAATAAAAACTGCACGTTTGATCGTAAAACAGACCCAGACTGTCCTATTTTCCGTCTGGGGAACATTGGTAACTGAGGCAGGAGAAGACTTCAGTGTCATTGCTCTTAAAGTCTGTATTTTCAATCATGCTGTATATCTAATACTTTTATTACATTTATATACACTACTGTTGAAAATGTTTTTTTTTTTTTTTTTTACTTTTTATTCATCAAAGAATCCTCCAAAAATGTATCATGGTTTCCATAAAATATTAAGCAGGATTACTAAGAAATAAGATATGTTTCTTAAGCTTCAAATCAGCATATTAGAATGATTTCTGAAAGATCATGTGACACTGAAGACTGGAGTAATGATGCTGAAAATTCAGCTTTGCCATCACAGGAATAAATTACATTTTAAAATATATTAATACTGAAAATTATTATTTTTAATTGCATTTAAATTGTATTTGTAATGATCAAATTAATGCAGCCATTGTGAACATAAGATACTTCTTTAAAAAACATTTAAAAAAATCTTACTGACCCTGAACTTTTGAAAAGTAGTGTTAGATTAGTACTTTACTTAAATATGTATTCATGAAATTAAGTTAAATACTGTATTTGACAGTGTGTTTTAATGTTAAAGGGTGGTATTATAGGGATTTTTGGACTTATGACTTGGACTTCCCAGAACGCTTCTGCATTCCCAAGTATTCTTTCAGAAGACTGGACAACAAAAATCCTGAAAATAACGTTGCCCCTGGCTAACAATTTCCGATAAATGCGGTTTAACTGAAAATTTTGATTGTAAAGCTAGACAATAACAATTTTGTTCTTTCCTACAGATTTGCAAAATATTATAAAAGCAATGAAAACATTGAAACACAGACATTGATAAAGGCCTTTGGAATCCGCTTTGATGTCATTGTGTTTGGGACGGTTTGTCTATTAGTCTCTGAGGTCAAAATAATAATCAGCATCTATTTAGTCTATTTTTATACCTATTCTTTTATTATCATCTGAAATTGTCTCTGCAGGCTGGTAAATATAATATTGTGCCCACTATTGTGAATATTGGTGCCACTCTTTCCTTTCTTAGTTTGGTGAGCTCTGGTTTGGTTTCTTTCCCCCCCCCAAAGATTCACCTATTTGAGTGAAATGTCTTTGGCTCAAGTATTTTCATGTTGATCCTGAACTTCTCCCAGGTGAATGCTGTTTGTGACTGGTTCATGTTTACTGCATGAAAGACCGTGTCTACTATGCCAAACATAAATTAATTCACCTGAACCAAAAAGGTGACAGTGTGCTACTGGTGAGTAAAAGTTAAATCAGTTTATTCTATAAGTAATTTATTTTTGTTACACAAAATTATACCATATTTTATACTGTTATAGAGCTCCATGGAGACAACCTCATATGATGGAGTGAACTGGACACTTTCACCGCACTTAAAACTAGTAAAACTGAATATGTTCTTGTAATTCTATATACACTTTTTTTCTTCAGTGTTACGATCCTTCAGAAAATTATTCTAATATGCTGATTTGCTGATTAAGAAATATTTCTTATCATCGTTAAAATAATTGTGCTGCTTAAAAGTTTTGTGAAATATCTTGATCAATTTAATTGACCATTCATTTGGATTTTTTAATTCAAAGGCATCTGTGTTAGTAAATGCATCCTGACAGCATTTTTTGTGGTTAATATGATACATCATTTGGTTGCTTTGCAGGTTAAAACTGTAAAAATTACTCAACATATACTGTAATATTGACTGTAGTTTGTATCATTCCCTTTTATACCTAAGGCATTGTCATTGTGATTGAATGTCTAATCATAAAATGAATAAAAATCTTATCTATTGAAGTCTGTCTGAGACGGTACAGCCTGATAGAGTCTAAGGCCACTGTATTTCCCATCAGGGCTGGGGTATTCTGCTCTTATCCTCCATACACAGCAACTGGGTATTACTGGAACAGCATCTCTGGGTGTGCTGTCACCAAAGCGCCATCTAATGAATTGAGCATAGGCCCCATGGCGCAGCTGAGCCTCCTCACCCAGCTCTGCTAGGGGATCCACATAGAACAAAGCGGTCTCCAGGACGGAGCGACTGACAATCAGAGTTGAAAAGAGCGGGGAGGAGGTTATGCAGTGCCCTTTCCTCGACCGACAGCACAGCTGCTCCTGCAAGTTGTCGGTAGGCCGGCAGCAGTCACACTGACACCAGGCCAGACACCCAGACTGTGGCATCTCCAGTAATGGTGTGTTTGTGCTTTGTCTGCTGCTGTGGGTTCTGGGAAGTTTTTCGTCTTCCTTTAGCACACCACTCTGGCCATTCTGTACAGGCTCACTTCTGCTTTGACCACACTGCAGAACGCTCATCAGAGTCTTCATGCTTGCCAAATCATTCCGAAAGAGAACAGACCAGGGTTATTATAGTTAACTAAAACCATAAAAAACATTTTCATGATCTGAAATGACAAACTTTATATGAGTGATTTATTTAAAGATAGTGATATATATATCAAATATATATTT